AGTCTAATTACAAAATTGATATTTCCTTTTTCAAATTTAAATTTTTGCACATATTTTAAATTTCATGTTGTGAAAAGAAATCCAGACATGTTAAAACAAAAAGACAAAATATAAGCCCGCCCACCCGCCCTGTCTCAATTTTGATTAATCTTATCTGCAAAATACTCATTTCCTTACAAGAAATTAGAAACATGTTTTTGAGTATCGAGTTGTTCAAAGAATACTATATATATTAAGAAAAAAAGCCAAAAATATATACAACACCTCAATTGTGACAATTTTTTTTATTATTAGAAACTTAAAACACGTTTAAAATGGTAATTATTGGTAAGGGAATAGGGATTTTCCAATTAGGCTCCGCCCCTACGTCTGTCAACGAATGAAAACTGCATTACTATTTAGATCAGGACAGGTATGGGTGGGAGTTTAATTTTTTCTTAATATACATCATATTCTTTGAACAACACAATACTCAAAAACATGTTTTTAATTTCTCCTGGAGAAATAAGGATTTTGCAGTTAAGCTCCGCCTTCTTGGCTCACGACGAATAAAAAAAAATCATTACAATTGACACAGGGTGGGTGGGCGGGGCTTATATTTTGCCTTTTTCTTCTTAATATACATAACCATCTTTTCGCCACAAGAAACTTAGAACATGGTTAAAATGGTACATTTTTTCAAGGAAATATGGATTTTGCAATTATGGGGCAGAGTCTAATTACAAAATCGATATTTCCTTATACAAATTTAAAATTTTAAACATTTTAAGTTTCATGTTGTGAAAAGAAATCTACACAAACTAAAACAAAAAGACAAAATATAAGCCCGCCCACCCGCCCTATCTCTATAGTGATGAATCTTATCTGCATAATACTTATTTCCTTACAGGAAATTATAAACATGTTTTTGAGTATCGTGTTGTTAAAGGAATACTGTGTATATTCAGAAAAAAAGCCAAACTATAAACCCCGCCCACCCACCCCATCTCAATTGTGATGATCTTTTATTCTTAGAAACTTAAAACACGTTTAAAATAGTAAATATTTGTAAGGAAATATGGATTTTGCAATTAGGCTCCGCCCCTAGGTCTGTTAACGAATGAAAACTGCATTACTATTTAGATCAGGACAGGTATGGGTGGGAGTTTAATTTTAATAATAATATACATCATATTCTTTGAACAACACAATACTCAAAAACATGTTTTTAATTTCTCCTAGAGAAGTAAGGATTTTGCAGTTAAGCTCCGCCCCCTTGACTCACGACGAATAAAAAAATCATCGGAATAGAGATAGGGTGGGTGGGCGGGGTTTATATTTTATCTTTGTTTTTTTTCTTAATATACATAGACATCTTTTCACAACAAGAAACTTAAAACATGATTAAAATGATACATTTTTGTATGGAAATATGGATATTTCCTTATACAAATTTTCCATTTTAATCATGTTTTCCGTTTTATGTTGTGAAAAGAAGTCTACACATATTAAAATAAAAAGACAAAATGTAAGCCCGCCCACCCGCCCTGTCTCGATTGTGATGATTTTTTCTGTCCACTGTGAACCAAGGGGGCGGAGCTTAACTGCAAAATACTTGTTTCGTTGCAAGAAATTAATAACATGTTTTTGAGTATCGTCTTGTTCAAAGAATACTATGTAAATTAAGAAAAAAAGAAAAATATAAACTCCACCCACCCACCCCATATCAATTGTGATGATTTTTTTAATCTTAGAAACTTAAAATACGTTTAAAATGGAAAATTTTGGTAAGGAAATAAGGATTTTGGAGTTAAGCTCCGCCTTCTTGGCTCACAACGAATAAAAAAAATCATTACAATTGAGACAGGGCGGGTGGGTGGGGCTTATATTTTGCCTTTTTCTTCTTAATATACATAGCCATCTTTTCACAATAAGAAATTAAAAACATGGTTAAAATGGAACATTTTGACAAAGAAATATGGATTTTGCAATTATGGGACGGAAACTAATTTTAAGTTCCATGTTCTAAAAAGAAATCTACACATATTAAAATAAAGAGGCAAAATGTAAGCCCGCCCACCCGCCTTGTCTCAATTGTAATGATTTTTTTATTCGCCGTGAACCAAAGGGGCGGAGCTTAACTGCAAAATACTAATTTTTTTACAAGAAATTAAAAAGATGTTTTCGAATATCGTCTTATTCAAAAAATACTATGTATATGTATTAGGAGAAAAAAGACAAATATTAACCCCGCCCACCCACCCCATCTCAATTGTGATAATTTTTGTATTCTTAAAACTTAAAATACATTTAAAATGGTAAATTTTTGTGAAGAAATATGGATTTTGTAATTAGACTCCGCCTCTAGGTCTGCCAACGAATGAAAACTTCATTGCTATTTAGATCAGGGTAGGTTTGGGTGGAGCTTAATCTTTTGTTAAATTTTTCCTTAATATACATAGTATTCTTTCAATAACACGATTCTCAAAAATATGTTTTTAATTTCTTGTAACGAAATAAGTACTTTGCAGTTAAGCTCCGCCTTCTTGGCTCACGACGAATAAAACAAATCATCACAAATGGGATAGGGTGGGTGGGCGGGGCTTAAATTGTGTCCTTTTTCTTAACATACGCAGTCGTCTTTTCAGAACAAGGACCTTGAAACACGTTTAAAATGGTAAATTCTTGTAGACAAATATGGATCTTGCAATTAAGCCCCGCCCCTCGATTTGACAACGAATGAAAAATTCGTCACAATTGAGAATTGAGATCGGGGCGGGTCTGGGTGTGGCCTAATCTTTTGGCTTTATTTTTTTCTTAATACACTTGGTATTCTTTCAACAACATGATATCAAAAACAAGAATTTTTCAGTGAAGCTCCGCCCTCTTGGCTGAAGACGAATAAAGAAAATCCTCACAATTGAGATAGGGCGGGTGGGCGGGTCTACATTTTGTGTTTTTTTTCTTAATATCTGTAGACTTATTTCGACGAAATGTTGTAAAAGTGTCAAATATTCTAACTCTTTCAAAGGTTTTAAGGCTTTCAAGGATGCCAAAAACTCTTAAGGACTACAAGGATTTCAGGAATTTAAAAAAATGAAAAAAAACTAGAGAAACCGGTAATTTAAGAAATCTAAAGGGATTTCAGGGATTTCAAAAATTCCGAAGATCTGACAGATTGTAAATATTTAAAAATTGGAAAGTTGATAAAAATCTTAAAGATCTAAAAATATTTAAAATTCTAGGGATACTGAAGTATCTGAAAGTAAAGAAAATCTGAAAAGTCTAGAGATTATAGAAATTCTAGTGATTCTAGATTCTAGAGAGTTCTAAAGATTCCAAAGTTTCCAGGGGTTCGAAAGATGTAAAATCTTAGAAATTTTAAAGAACCTGGGAGTACTATTGATCCTAGAAATTGAAGAAATTTTAATACTTTTATTCTTTCTTTAATTTTTATAAATTAGAGATTCCAAAATTCTTCAGTTTATAAATTTTAGAAAATTTGAAAAATTTAGAAGTGAAGGGAAAATGTGCTAGACCTAGAAATCTTGCAAATATTGGAAAAGGTTGAATTTCAAATTTCTGGTATAACTTGGAGCTTGATAATTTTAGAAATTTAGAAAAATATGGAAATTTTGAAAAATTTGCAAATTACGAAAATTCCCAAAAATTAAAAGAAATTAAAAAAATATTAACTCTCGAAATTTCAAAACTTTACACAATCTTAAGATTGCAGACCCCAAAGATGATAAATAAACTAAAGTTTTATGTTCTAAATAGAAGAAACATCCAACAAAATCTTCAAAATTGTAAAAATCTTGGAAGCATCCTAGAAATTATAAAATTTCTAATAATTCTGAAGTACCCAAAATTTCGAAAGATTGTTAAGACTCCAAGGACTCTGAAAACTCTAAAGAATCAAACGTTAAAAAGGTTTTTTAAATTTTGTTCCAAATATTTCAAAAATGTTTATAAAACGCATGATTCCAAAGACTCTAAACGAAACAAAAATCTTAAAAATCGTAAAAATGATTATTTTACACATTTTAGAGATACGAAAAATTTCAAAGATTTAAAGACTCTTGGGGTCTATTAATTTTAGAAAATGTGGAAATATCTAGAAAGTGTGAAAAATCTGGACGACTTAGAAATCTTGAAAACTGAGGGAAATGTTGAATTCTGGCATATCGGAAGACTGATATTTTAACATTTAGAAAGTCTGGAAGTTCTGAAAATTTAAAAAATTCTGCTAATACTAAATTTATGTGCCCCGCCCACCCACCCTCTCTTTTCTTAAAATTTATGTCATTTGCCAAAATCGGTCTTATTTTAGCAGCTACTAAAAATGTAACATTTTTTGTATATTGGGAAATTTTTCAGATATTTAGCTAATTTTAAAAGTGTGACTGCTTCCGAATCACTCCCTAACATGATTTTTATCGGGCGACTACGTGACCAATTGACACAGAATTTCCCTAGCCTGGAAATATTTACATTTTCCGACTTAAAATCTTGTTTGATTGATTTTAAAAGATCCAGATCATTATTGTAGATTTCTTCTTAAGATAGCTCTGCTGCGGCTCAGTTAAACCGACTATAACGATATTTTCGATGGCGCAGTCGGTCAGATGCATTCCAAGAACGCCGTCATCGCGGTTTACACAATAAGCACCGTAAGCCCTGCCTACAGCCGCTTGAATAATGTACTTTTTGATGTCGGTCGGAAATGAATCCGGCCCGCCCGATCCGAACAAAAAGCCGGAAAATTGTATGAAATTTCGCCGCAACCAAAATACTTCCACATTGTTATTCAAATAAATCCGCGAATTATATTCTTCAGTTCCCATAAATAAACTCTAAATATACGCAATTGTGTTCCGTCCGGGTTCGAGCCCCAATTACGCTTAAAAAAAAAAAACGGAATTTATCTCCCGAAAAACGATTCCGTCCTAAGTAAATATTTTACGTTCGAAATTAATTTGCGGACATTAAAGAATTAAGACTGTTGTTTCGCGTCGCAGCTGACCATGAACGACTTCAGCGTCCACAGGATAATAGGCAGGGGCGGCTTCGGCGAGGTGTACGGCTGTCGGAAGGCGGACACGGGGAAGATGTACGCGATGAAGTGTCTGGACAAGAAGAGGATAAAAATGAAGCAAGGGGAGACGCTGGCGCTGAACGAGCGCATCATGCTGTCGCTGGTCAGCACGGGCCAGGATTGTCCCTTCATAGTCTGTATGACGTACGCGTTTCACACCCCCGACAAGCTCTGCTTCATCCTGGACTTGATGAACGGCGGCGACTTGCACTACCACCTCAGTCAGCACGGCGTCTTCAACGAGTCCGAGATGAAGTTTTACGCCGCCGAAGTGATATTAGGTGAGACGATCACCCCGAGCGTCGCACCCCAAAACCATAAACCGTGCGTTTCAGGTTTGGAACATATGCATAGGAGGTATATTGTATATAGAGATTTAAAACCTGCAAATATTCTATTAGACGAACACGGCCATGTTCGGATATCAGATTTAGGTCTAGCCTGTGATTTTTCGAAAAAGAAACCCCACGCTAGCGTGTAAGTACGCCACCCCCACCCGCCCACCAGACTAACCCGTCACTCCACAGAGGAACTCACGGTTACATGGCACCGGAAGTGCTGTCGAAAGGCACGGCGTACGATTCCAGTGCGGACTGGTTCAGTTTCGGCTGCATGTTGTACAAATTACTGAAGGGCCATTCGCCTTTTCGTCAACACAAGACCAAAGACAAGCACGAGATCGACAGGATGACACTGACAATGGTAAACACGGGGCGGGGAGCCCTCACACACGCCGCATTAATCGATCGTTGCTTTCCAGAACGTCGAACTTCCCGATTCGTTCAGCAAAGAACTGAAGTCCTTACTCGAAGGGCTGCTGCAAAGGGACGTCGATAAAAGACTGGGCTGCAAGGGCAACGGGTAAGGGAGGGGGACGTGTGCGTGGTGTGTGGCTGAAGGGTTGTTTCAGGGCGGACGAAGTGAAGGAGCACCCGTTCTTCGCGGGGATCGACTGGCAGCAGGTATATTTGCAGAAGTACACGCCGCCGCTGATACCGCCGAGGGGGGAGGTGAACGCGGCGGACGCCTTCGACATCGGGTCGTTCGACGAGGAGGACACGAAGGGGATCAAGGTAAAAATGATAGTGTATAAGGCGGGATGAGAATTGAGAGGGCGGGACGACAATTTGACATTGTGTGTCGCAGTTTTTTTTTTTCTGAATCCGGCTCGGTACCTTATTCTATACCTTTTTAAAGGGACCTCGAAAAAAATTAAAGTAAAGTCGGGGTAAAATTTACGAGGGTCGGGTCAAAATTTTGGTCCTTGGAAACGGCTTTTTAGGTATTTGCGCACTTATCCGAGTTACAGTAGAAACTACCTTTGGTCATTTTGTAGAACTTACTCTAGGGACCAAGTTTCCTTTGATTGTTCAGGTCACAGTTGCAAATTTTGGTCTTTTTTCCCCCGAATTTTGTTTTCCGGGTTCACTGTAAAAATGCTCCTTGAGAAATTTCGCCCAATCTTTTGATTCCAATCCGACTGTGTACTTTATTTTAAACCTTCTTAATGAAACCTCGAAAGGAATTAAGATAAAGTCGGGTCAAATTTTGCGAGGGCCAGATCAACGTTTTTTCTCCCTGAAAATCAGACTTTTAGGTATTTGCCGCCTTATCTAAGTTACAGTAGAAACTATCTTTGGTCATCCTGTAGGATTTACTCTAGAGACCAAGTTTCCTGTGATTGTTCGAGTCACAGTTGACAATTTTGGTCTTTTTCCTCGGAATTTGGTTTTTCGGGACCACCATAAAATGCTCCCTGCGAAATTTCGATGATTATTTTGAGTCAAATACGTCTTGGTACTTTATGTTATACCTATTTAATGAAATCTCGTAGGGAAATAAGATGAAGTCGAGTAAAACTTTGCGAGGGCCAGATGAATATTTTTCTCCCCGGAAATCGGATTTTTAGGTATTTGCGGCCTTATCCGAGTTACAGTAGAAACTAGCTTTGGTCATTCTATAGGGTTTAATCGAGGGACCAAGTTTCCTTTGATTGTTCGAGTCACAATTGAAAATTTTGGTCTTTTTTCCCCGAATTTTGTTTTTCGGGTTCACTGTAAAAATGCTCCTTGAGAAATTTCACCCAATCTTTTGAATCCAATCCGACTGTATACTTTATTTTGAACCTTCTTAATGAGACCTCGAAAGGAATTAACATAAAGTGGGGTCAAATTTTGCGAGGGCTAGATCAACGTTTTTTCTCCCTGAAAATCGGACTTTTAGGTATTTGCCGCCTTATCTAAGTTACAGTAGAAACTATCTTTGGTCATCCTTCAGGATTTACTCTAGAGACCAAGTTTCCTGTGATTGTTCGAGTCACAGTTGACAATTTTGGTCATTTTCCTAGGAATTTGTTTTTTCGGGACCACCATAAAATGCTCCTTGTGAAATTTCGCTGATTATTTTGAGTCAAACACGTCTCGGTACTTAATTTTATACCTATTTAATGAAATCTCGTAGGGAAATAAGATGAAGTCGAGTAAAACTTTGCGAGGGCCAGATCAATATTTTTCTCCCTGGAAATCGGATTTTTAGGTATTTGCGGCCTTATCCGAGTTACAGTAGAAACTAGCTTTGGTCATTCTATAGGGTTTAATCGAGGGACCAAGTTTCCTTTGATTGTTCGAGTCACAATTGAAAATTTTGGTCTTTTTTCCCCGAATTTTGTTTTTCGGGTTCACTGTAAAAATGCTCCTTGAAAAATTTCGCCCAATCTTTTGATTCCAATCCGACTGTGTACTTTATTTTGAACCTTCTTAATGAGACCTCGAAAGGAATTAAGATAAAGTGGGGTCAAATTTTGCGAGGGCCAGATCAACGTTTTTTCTCCCTGAAAATCGGACTTTTAGGTATTTGCCGCCTTATCTAAGTTACAGTAGAAACTATTTTTGGTCATCCTGTAGGATTTACTTTAGAGACCAAGTTTCCTGTGATTGTTCGTGTCACAGTTGACAATTTTGGTCTTTTTCCTAGGAATTTGTTTTTTCGGGACCACCATAAAATGCTCCTTGTGAAATTTCGCTGATTATTTTGAGTCAAATACGTCTCGGTTCTTGATTTTATACCTATTTAATGAAATCTCGTAGGGAAATAAGATGAAGTCGAGTAAAACTTTGCGAAGGCCAGTTCAATATTTTTCTCCCCGGAAATCGGATTTTTAGGTATTTGCGGCCTTATCCGAGTTACAGTAGAAACTAGCTTTGGTCATTCTATAGGGTTTAATCGAGGGACCAAGTTTCCTTTGATTGTTCGAGTCAAAGTTGAAAATTTTGGTCTTTTTTCCAGAATTTTGTTCTTCAGGTTCGCTGTAAAAATGTTCCTTGAGAAATTTCACCCAATCTTGATTCCAATCCGACTGTGTACTTTATTTTAAACCTTCTTAATGAGACCTTAAAGGAATTAAGATAAAGTGGTGTCAAATTTTGCGAGGGCCAGATCAGCGTTTTTTCTCCCTGAAAATCGGACTTTTAGGTATTTGCCGCCTTATCTAAGTTACAGTAGAAACTATCTTTGGTCATCCTGTAGGATTTACTCTAGAGACCAAGTTTCCTGTGATTGTTCGAGTCACAGTTGACAATTTTGGTCTTTTTCCTAGGAATTTGTTTTTTCGGGACCACCATAAAATGCTCCTTGCGAAATTTCGCTGATTATTTTGAGTCAAATACGTCTCGGTACTTAATTTTATACCTATTTAATGAAATCTCGTAGGGAAATTAGATGAAGTCGAGTAAAACTTTGCGAGGGCCAGATCAATATTTTTCTCCCCGGAAATCGGATTTTTAGGTATTTGCGGCCTTATCTAAGTTACAGTAGAAACCATCTTTGGTCATTCTGTTGGATTTACTCCAGGGACCAAGTTTCTTTGATTGTTCGAATCACAATTGAAAAGTTTGCTCTTTTTTCCCCGAATTTTGTTTTTCGGGCGCATTGTAGAAATGCTCCTTGTGTAATTTTGCAGAATATTTTGAGTCCAATACAACTGTGTACTTCATTTTGGACCTTCTTAATGAGACCTCAATAGGAATTATCAAATTTTGCTTGGGCCAGATCAACATTTTGCTGTCCGAAAAACGGATTTTTAGGTATTTGCGGCCTTGTCCGAGTTACAATAGAAACCACCTTTGGTCATTCTGTAGGATTTACTCTAGGGATCAAGTTTCCTTTGACTGTTCGGGTCACAATTGGAAATTTTGGTCTTTTTTCCTCGAATTTTATTTTTCGGGTTCACTATAGAAATGCTCCTTGTGAAATTTCTCTGAATACTTTGAATCCAATACGACTCGGTCCTTGATTTTATACCTTTTTGATGAAATCTCGAAGGAAAATAAGATATAGTCGGGTCAAATTTTGCGAAGGCCCTATCACCATTTTTCTCTCAGGACATCCCCGGAAATCGGACTTTTCGGTATTTGCGACCTTATCTGAATTACAGTAGAAACTAGCTTTGGTCTTTTTGTGGGTTTTACTACAGGGACCACGTTTCCTTTGATTGTTTGGTTATAATTGAAAATTTTGGTCTTTTTTCCCCCAAATTGTGTTTCTTGGGTTTATTTTAGAAAAATTCCTTGTGAAATTTGGCTGAATATTTTGAATCCAATACGGTTCGGTAAAGTGATTTTATACCTTTTTAATGAAATCTCGAAGGGAAATAAGGTAAAGTCTGGTCACAGTTTGCAAGGGCCGGATCTACGTTTTTCTCCCCGAAAAATGGATTTTTAGGTATTTGTGGCCTTATCTGAGTTCCAGTAGAAACTGGCTTTGGTCATTCTGGAGGATTTACTTCAGGGACCAAGTTTTCTTTGATTGTTCGGGTCACAATTGAAAATTTTGCTCTTTTTCTCTCGAATTTTGTCTTTCGGGCTCACTGTAGAAATGCTCCTCGAGAAATTTTGCACAAAATTTTGAGTCCAATACAACTGTGGACTTCATTTTGGACCTTCTTAATGAGACCTTAATAGGAATTAAGATAAAGTGGGATCAAATTTTGCGAGGACCAGATCAACATTACGGTGCCCGAGAAACCGATTTTAGGTATTTGCGATCTTATCCGAGTTACAGTAGAAACCACCTTTGGTCATTCTGTAGGATTTACTCTAGCGACCAAGTTTCCTTTGATTGTTCTGGTCATAATTGAAAATTTTGGTCTTTTTCCCCCGAATTTTGTGTTTCGGGTTCACTGTAGAAATTCGCTGAATATTTTGAGTCCAATACGATTGTGTACTTTATTTTGGACCTTCTTAATGAGACCTCAAAAGGAATTAAGGTATAGTGGTGTCAAATTTTGCGAGAGCCAGATCAATATTTAAGCCCCGAAAAACGAACTTTTACATATTTGCGAACTTATCCGAGTTACAGTAGAAACTAGGTTTGGTTATTCTGTAGGGTTTACTGTAAGGACTAAGTTTCCAATGATTTTTCAGGTCACACTTGAAAATTTTGTTTTTTTCCCTGGGTTTTGTATCCCGAGTTCATTTTAAAAATGTTCCTTGGTAAATTTCGCTGAATCTTTCGAGTCTAAACCGTCTCTGACCTTTATTTTTGTACCTTTTTAATAAGATCGCCACGGGATTTTCCGGTAAAGTAGGGTCAAACGTTTCGAGGACCAGATCAACATTTTTCTCTCCGGTAATCGGATTTTCAGGTATTTGCGACCTTATCCGAGTTACAGTACAAACTAGATTTGGTTATTCCATAGGGTTTAGTGTAGGGACTAAGTTTCCAATGATTTTTCAGGTCACAGTTAAAAGTTTTGTTTTTTTTTCCCTGGGTTTTGTATTCCGAGTTCATTTTAAAATGTTCCTTGATAAATTTAGCTGAATCTTTCGAGTCAAAACCGTCTCTGACCTTTATTTTTGTACCTTTTTAATAAGATCACCACGGGATTTTCCGATAAAGTAGGGTCAAACTTTTCGAGGGCCAGATCAACATTTTTCTCTCTGGAAATCGGATTTTTAGGTATTTGCGAACTTATCCAAGTTACAGTACAAACTAAATTTGGTTATTCTATAGGGTTTACTGTAGGGACTAAGTTTCCAATGATTTTTCAGGTCACGGTTGAAAATTTTGGTCTTTT